GTGTGTGTGTGTGTGTGTGTGTGTGTGTGTGTGTGTGTGTGTGTGTGTGTGTGTGTGTGTGTGTGTGTGTGTGTGTGTGTGTGTGTGTGTGTGTGTGTGTGTGTGTGTGTGTGTGTGTGTGTGTGTGTGTGTGTGTGTGTGTGTGTGTGTGTGTGTGTGTGTGTGTGTGTGTGTGTGTGTGTGTGTGTGTGTGTGTGTGTGTGTGTGTGTGTGTGTGTGTGTGTGTGTGTGTGTGTGTGTGTGTGTGTGTGTGTGTGTGTGTGTGTGTGTGTGTGTGTGTGTGTGTGTGTGTGTGTGTGTGTGTGTGTGTGTGGTGTGGTGGGTGGTGGGTGGTGTGTGTGTGTGTGTGTGTGTGTGTGTGTGTGTGTGTGTGTGTGTGTGTGTGTGTGTGTGTGTGTGTGTGTGTGTGTGTGTGTGTGTGTGTGTGTGTGTGTGTGTGTGTGTGTGTGTGTGTGTGTGTGTGTGTGTGTGTGTGTGTGTGTGTGTGTGTGTGTGTGTGTGTGTGTGTGTGTGTGTGTGTGTGTGTGTGTGTGTGTGTGTGTGTGTGTGTGTGTGTGTGTGTGTGTGTGTGTGTGTGTGTGTGTGTGTGTGTGTGTGTGTGTGTGTGTGTGTGTGTGTGTGTGTGTGTGTGTGTGTGTGTGTGTGTGTGTGTGTGTGTGTGTGTGTGTGTGTGTGTGTGTGTGTGTGTGTGTGTGTGTGTGTGTGTGTGTGTGTGTGTGTGTGTGTGTGTGTGTGTGTGTGTGTGTGTGTGTGTGTGTGTGTGTGTGTGTGTGTGTGTGTGTGTGTGTGTGTGTGTGTGTGTGTGTGTGTGTGTGTGTGTGTGTGTGTGTGTGTGTGTGTGTGTGTGTGTGTGTGTGTGTGTGTGTGTGTGTGTGTGTGTGTGTGTGTGTGTGTGTGTGTGTGTGTGTGTGTGTGTGTGTGTGTGTGTGTGTGTGTGTGTGTGTGTGTGTGTGTGTGTGTGTGTGTGTGTGTGTGTGTGTGTGTGTGTGTGTGTGTGTGTGTGTGTGTGTGTGTGTGTGTGTGTGTGTGTGTGTGTGTGTGTGTGTGTGTGTGTGTGTGTGTGTGTGTGTGTGTGTGTGTGTGTGTGTGTGTGTGTGTGTGTGTGTGTGTGTGTGTGTGTGTGTGTGTGTGTGTGTGTGTGTGTGTGTGTGTGTGTGTGTGTGTGTGTGTGTGTGTGTGTGTGTGTGTGTGTGTGTGTGTGTGTGTGTGTGTGTGTGTGTGTGTGTGTGTGTGTGTGTGTGTGTGTGTGTGTGTGTGTGTGTGTGTGTGTGTGTGTGTGTGTGTGTGTGTGTGTGTGTGAATGTGATACAAATTTTAATTAAATAACGATATTTTAACATAAATAAATATATGTTATAAATATAGACACATGATGACAGATGTTTAGATCCATACACCTACGCATACATGCTCGTCGGTTAAGGGTACTCTAATTTGGCCCATTTTCAATAAATCGCCAATTTGGTCGATAAATTTTCTGCCTAAAACGTCCCTTTCCGACTCCGCCATTCACTTCTGCAACATAAATTTTCTTTGTCACTCTTTCAAAATTCATTCTTTCCACATGACCAAACCACCGAAGCATTCCTTTCTTAATCCTGGTCACAACATCATCTTACAAACCACACTCTTTTCTTATTACACAATTTCTTACACTGTCATTCAGATTCAGCCCTAACATTCTCCTTAACGACCGCATTTCTACTGCGTTTATTCTACTCTCGTGCTTCTTCTGCCACATCCAACTTTCACTATCGTACGCTAAAGTAGGGATCAACACAGCATTGTGAATTGCCATACGTGCCTTTTTCGACACATTTTGACTCTTCACAATAGAGTGTACGGCCCCATTTATTCTGTTTATGTTCGGAAAATGTTATTTTGAATCCATATTTACCCCTAGATCAAGGACACTATTCACCTCTGATAAAGTAAAATTATTTATTTTATAATTGTATTTAATTGGATTATTTTTTCTAGTGAATGAAAAACAACATGTCTTTAAATTAATACCAATACGACTTTCAATATAATAAGAGTTTAATCTATCTAGATCGGCTTGAAGGTTACTGCAATCAGTAATCCCATTAATTTTCATAAAGATTTTTGTATCATCAGCATACATTAAAAATTTGCATGCTTAAAGCATCTAGGAACAGCATATAAGTACGTGGCATATAACAAAGGTCCAAGGATGGAACCCTGCGTTACGCCAGATAGTACCTCCAAAAAGTCGGAGCGTGAACTACCTACCACTACAACTTGAGAAGGATTGCGCAGTTAAGACTCTAACCATCTCAACAATTACCGTGGATAACCAGTTCAGATAGTTTACGCAGAAGGATACTGTGGTCAACACGGTCAAATGCCTTCTCAAAATCCGTACTTATTACATCTACTTGTGACTCACCATCCATACTATTTGATACATAGTCTACAAAAACTCCAAGGTTAGTAGTAGTTGACCGGCCTTTTATAAATCCATGTTGTTCAGAGGGAATTGAAGTGGCAATTATTGGATATATATGAGCATTGACTACTATTTCACAAAATTTACTGAGTACGTACAGGATCGAAATGGGACGGTAGTTCTCAATTGTTGATTTAAGACCTTTTAAATGAATTGGTACAATATGGGCTGTTTTCCAAATGCGAGGAAAGTAGCCTTCCTGAAAACATCGATTAAAAATATGTGAGATAAGAAGAGATAAAGCATCTGCACAGGTGAAGAATATTGTTGGAATATTTTCGCTACCCGCACCTTTCGATATGTCGAGACTTTTAATTAGCTTTAAAATATACTCTTTATTAATTTTAATGTCATGTATAGTAGCAGTTTGCCATGGACTATTATGCGTATCTTGTAAATATAGATCAGACGGTTTATTATAATTTCTCTGAAAAAACTTATTAAAAGCGGAACAAATGTCAAAACTGTTAATGATAACTAAATTATTGTACGTCATGTAATGAAGATAATTACAAATATTTTTTCTCTTAGATTTTACATAGGACCAGAAGTATTTGGGGTTATTTTAAATTTTTTGTTGTGAAGATTTTATATAGAAATTATAACAGTCTGATTGTATTTCTTTTTGTCTACTTCTTAAGTCTGAAAATTGAGCATAGTCGTTTGGGTTTTTGTATTTTTTCCAATGTTTGTGAACTTTAAACTTTTCTTTAATTAAATTTGCCTGCTATACCAGATGGGATAAGTGTGCACACCAGAGTGGTAAACCTGAGGAACATACGAGTATGTTTCTATGCAGTTATTTATAATTGCATAAAAACCAGCTATTATAGTCTCAATATTTGTGTTACTGTCTAATATAAACGACCAATCCTGTTGATTTAACATTTCATTAATGATATTAAAGTCAGCAGGCTATAAATATACTTTGATCGCGTTTGTGTCTTCAAGGGAGGTATGAGTATATCTGACGCAGTAATAATGAGTGAAGGGTGGTGACAGTCTTCTTTAACAAGATGGAAGTTGGATCTACTAACAGTGACGGACGAGTCTGAAAAAATTAGGTCTAGTATTTTATTATTATTATTTAAGATGGTATTATATTGCATAAGACCTATGAAAGCCGTACCGTCAATGAGCTGTGATGCAGAATTCTGGACTTCAGCAGGGCCTTTCCTAAGTATGACAGGTCCATCTTGTGTCCAGTCTATACACGGTACGTTAAAGTCGCCTACAAGTATAAACTGATCATTGGGATGATTATTGCGTATTTGTGAAATAAGATTTACAAACAGTCTGGTTCTCTCTGAGAGTGATGAGTTGGGGGTATGTAAATCATTCCTATGTGGAGGTCGTGCTCTAATCCCACAGCACTAGAAGGAACCGTCACACAAACGCACTCAAGGTTATCAATATGCCATTCGGATCTCATACAGGCCTGCAAGTATGGTGCACACATTAACATGACCCCACCTCCCAACGACTCACGATCACGACAAAACACATTATATTTATCATTACATAGTTCTGAATCCAGGATTCCGCCATAAAGCCAAGTTTCGGTTATCATGACCACATCATAATCAAGCAATAGTAAATTATTATAAAATTCATTAGTCTTAGTCCTCAAACCCCGTACGTTCTGATAATACAGTTTTAATTCTTTCAGTGTAGTATCCATTGAAAAAACAGGTACCTAAAATGTAGCTAGGTATAGGCGTAAGATATGAATAATTATAGTTAATAATAGTTTTTAATAAGAATAAGTAATAAATGATTAATAAATGTGTAAATTTTACTTGTAAATATGTTATTATTAATCGATAATAAATTACATTATATCTTTTAAAGGATATTCTGTATTTATATTTGAGAATGTAATAAATATATGTATATAAGTAAAGCGTTAGATGAGTGCAGGTATATGTGATTTTGGTAATGTTTATTAATGTATGTGAGAATAATGTATGATACGTGTGTGAGTTTTTGATAGTGTACAGTGTATCTAGTTATGTTAACTGATAAAAAAACAGAATTTGTAACAAGTGCATACCTTTTCACAATATCTACCGAAGAAGATATGGAGATTGGAGGTGAAGCCTCGTTTTTTCGAACGAAAATACGGCAGTTTTTTGTCCAAATGAATTTGTAATTTAGTTCCTTTACATTTCGTTTGCACTGTGAAAGAAGCATTTTATTTTCTTTTGTTAAATGCTCATTTATAAAAATCATATTAATGACACATCCAAACCCCATATCACTGGCTTTTAAATTACGATGTTTACGTGCAGTGGCCATTATTTTGTCTTTAATAAAACGATGCCACCGAGCGATAATAGGGCGCGCGCGCACGGTGCTTGTGGCACGCCGCGACTGCACGCGATGCGCAAACTCCACTTCAGAAGGTTCGATTGAGACTCCAATATGCTTCGAATTGTTTTGTATAATAGTTAATGTGTTCTCATCTTTATCTTCTGGTATGCCAGCGATTTCGATATTTTGCAATCTGGCCCACTGTTGTTGCTTCATGTTATCGTCTTCCAGTCTTCACACGAGTTGTGAGGTGATTTAATTGTTCTTTGAGGAATTTGTTCTCATTCAAATCCAATGTGGTGGAGTCTAGGTGTTTTTTTAAGTCATCATATTGTCCAGAAATATAAGTCATAGACTCTTGAAGTTCGACAAAGCGACTATTTATATCCTTCAGCTGATTTGATGTATTGACAAGCATGGCCTCAATTTCCGTTGTCAATTCTTTTTTTAGGATTTCTTTGAATTTTTCTTGAGAAAGTTGTGAGTCTACTGAACGATTTCTTCGCACAGTTACATTACAATCTTGAGATAGATACTCGGGTTTATCTTTGTCACCTATCTTGGAGTGATTAATAGAGTGAATTGGTATATCTAAGTTGCCTGTTTTTAGTTGCTTGCTTATGCACTCTGAGCATTTCCACTGAGTTTTAGCTTCTAGACTCATTTTCCTAAATCGCTTTAGTGACAAGTTTGCACACAACACATCGTGCTTTAATTTACAACCATGACATTGTAAGGGTTCCCCCCCTCTCTATGTATAAAAATATTATTATATTAAGTATAAATAATTCTCCTTTATAATAAAAATTATATATATATATATATATATATATATATATATATATATATATATATATATATATATATATATATATATATATGTGACTAGGATAAATAAAATATGTTTTGGTCTTTCTAAAGGTTTAATAATAGGCCGTTTGTAATATTTTGGCGTGATCGTCTTAGTTAGGACCCTTATTTACGTTGTGTTTGTTTAGTAACTTAGTTCTTTTAGGTGTCTTTTGGAAGAATGAATATTCGCTAGAGCAATTGAAAGCTGTTGGTAGTGCCTTATAAGCTAAGTGAACCCCGTTCACGAAGACAGGGCTCGAGAAAGGTTAAAAAAATAAAACGTCCCAATTCCACATGTATCAGGTTTACATTATTAACTTAATATTATTTATCCTTTCCCGCTCGGAAAAGGCCCAAAATATATTTATACAAAATACCCGATACAAGGGCTTCACTCTGCTACATTTATTAAAAAAATGTAGGAGAGGCACACGGCCCCACACACGCCGTGCACGGTGAGCGCCAACCATTTTGATGCACTCCCCCCGAAGAGAAAGCTAATTCGGGAACTGGACCGTAGTCCACAGCAAAATAACTGGCGAACCAGTAAAAGGGGCTTGGCCCCTTGTTAGTGCGTAAGCACAAACATCGACCGAAGTCGCGCATGCCAATGTGTGTAAACGCCATACAGAATACGAACGAATCCAGCCACAGTGAATGTACGTCACACGGTTTAGGCAAATAGGCACACTGGCCATAAACCCTCCGTGAGCGCCACCACCTGCCAGACCGCCGCTCCTGCAGACGTGATGTAAGTGTATGGCATCACCACCAATTGCATGATCAGCACGGCTACTAGCCGCAGAGCGTGTCATGAGTCTACCGCTCACCTCAAGGGAATGGGGTCCCACGTTGTGCGGCTTTCGGCCGCAGCCTTGAGAGTCTCCTCAGATCCTCCCGCCAGCTACCACCCGCATGAGGTCGACACATATGCTCCACCAACCAATACAACGGCAGATATAGCCAAAAGGCAGTTATAAGATAAGAGTAATAATTCGCCATCATAAAGGGTTTGTGTCACTGACGTTGAGTAAATGCATTTTCGATCATGTTTGTCTCACCCACCAACAAGTTGCCTTCAATCATTCAAAGGTGGGAAAGTTACAGAGATATAATATTATGTTGTTATATAAAACTTCGTGGAGGGCAGATAGTCTGCAGCCCCGTAATATAGGAACCCGACTTAGGCAAAGCTACTCAGGCGTTAGTCAAACCAAGACGCAGAGAGCGCCATTGAGAATGGCGTCCCATCAAACAACCATCGCAGAGACGCAATGTTGCAGAGCGCAACAAACATCAATACGACTATCGTCGGGCTTACACCATCCCAAGGTCCCCCATACATCCCAGCAGATATCACAACCCGCATACCTCCATCGACCAGAACCACAAGAGAGCGTCGAATCAGGCGCAGCACACCCGCAGATTCATCACAAGGCGCAATACCGCAAGGAGCAGTAAGCATCAATGCAACTATCATACGGATGGCGCCCCCCTCACAACACACATGATCCCTATCGACTTTGGTAACAAAGTTTGTATTGTTGTTATATAAAAAATATCACCAACGTATCATAGTAGCACGCTACTAAGACGCCAATGAACAAAACTCCACGTATCATAGCGCTAATGCACTAAGACATAAAGTTGAGTATGCCTGTTACACTTAAAAGTACTACCAAACACACTCATTATCCCAATCCGAAATATAGACGACGCATCGCTATGCGCTACGACGTCGCCCACAAACGGTATGGGTGTGCGATGTCCACGGAAAAGCCGTATTGCTACAATAAACCCGCTTACCATCGGTACTAAGATGTTAATTGTATACCTCCATCGACCAGAAGCACAGGAATGCGTCGAATCAGGCGCAGCACATCCGCAGATCCATCACAAGACGCAATACCGCAACTAGCAGTAAGCATCAATGCAACTATCATACGGGTGGCGCCCCCTCACAACACACCCACATGACTCCTATCGATTTTGGCAACAAAGTTTTTATTGTTTTTATATAAAAAGTATCACCAACGTATCATAGTAGCACGCTACTAAGACGCCAATGAACAAAACTCCACGTATCATAGCACTAAGACATGAAGTTGAGTATGCCTGCTACACTTAAAAGTGCTACCAAACACACTCATTATCCCAATCCGAAAGATAGACGACACATCGCTATGTGCAACGACGTCGCCCACAAACGGTATGGGTGTGCGATGTTCACGGGAAAGCCGTATTGCTGCAACAAACCCGCTTACCACCGGCACTAAGATGTTAGTTGTATACCTCCATCGACCAGAACCACAAGAATGCGTCGAATCAGGCGCAGCACACCCGCAGATCCATCAAAAGACGCAATACCGCAAGTAGCAGTAAGCATCAATGCAACTATCATACGGGTGGCGCCCCCTCACAACACACCCACATGATCCCTATCGACTTTGGTAACAAAATTGGCATTGTTGTTATATAAAAAATATCACCAACGTATCATAGTAGCACGCTACTAAGACGCCAATGAACAAAACTCCACGTATCATAGCGCTAATGCACTAAGAAATGAAGTTGAGTATGCCTGTTACACTTAAAAGTGCTACCAAACACACTCTTCCCAATCCGAAAGATAGACGACGCATCGCTATGCGCTACGACGTCGCCCACAAACGGTATGGGTGTGCGATGTCCACGGGAAAGCCGTATTGCTACAACAAACCCGCTTACCACCAGCACTACGATGATATGTCTAGGACACATCGGTTAGCGAATCCAAGTTTACCTCGGACCAATTGCTCGTGAAGCAGCACACACGCCACCATAATATTCCTTTTCAAGTCCCTAATAAGGACTAGTCATTTTGCTACAGTACTAGGAGCAGTCGGTCACCCGACTACCCCATACAATGCTTATGCATCAAGGAGACCTCCTATAATATTGCTTTTGTATCATAGACCTTATTTCATAAGTCATGCATATATGGGATTCGAACCCACGACCCTACTATTGTAATGCATATTAATCATAGAGACCTTCTATAGTATTGCTTTTGAATCATAGACCTTACTTTCATAAGTCATTCATATATAGGATTCGAACCCACGACCTTACTATTGTAATGCATATTAATCATAGAGACCTTATATAGTATTGCTTTTGGATCATAGACCTTACTTTCATAAGACATTAATATATAGGGTTCGAACCCACGACCCTACTATTGTTATGCAAATTCATCATGGAGACCTTCTTTAGTATTGCTTTTGTATCATTGAGTTTAATATCATAAGTCCCTAATATAGGACTAGTCATTGTGCTACAGTACTTCAGGCAGTCGGGCTCCCGACCACCCCATATATATGTACAACTGCAGGAATGTATCTCCGGCAGCTCCTCCATACAAGACATCTATACATGAACACCTGCAATAATTTTCCTTTATACGTGAACTCCTTCCACAACTTAGGAAAATTTTCTTTTATACATGAACACCTCCCATGACTTAAACAATTTTTAACAAATTTTCTAATTATCTTATAAACGTTATTTAACTTAATCTTATAAATTTTTTTGACTTGTATTTCTATTATTTATCTTATTTTAAATATTTTTCCAAGTTTTTTAAATAAATTTATTTATTACGAAAAACAATTATTTTGCCTTTAATTTACTATGTTATTGGGATAATGTCTGAAATATATTAACTTTATATTTATTAATTTAACTTAATTGCTTAATATATATCTTTTAAGACTATTTTTGACGCCCCTTTATATTGAATTTAATTATTAATAATAATATTGGGCCGTCACAACATGTTATAAATTCATTACTATACTATATGAATCCATCTTGTAGACTTGATAACTGTGCGGACGGCCTAACAATGCAATGAGCCCGTCTACGTCACAGCGAGTAAGCGGCGAGTTGTCGTAGGTCACGGTTTTATACAAATCACCATGTGTTAGAAAATGTTTTGGTTAAAAACTCAATAATTACTGCACCGATCGTTTTCACTTAAAGTTATACTAATTAGTCACACAATTGACTACAGTTAGGTGGGGGATTTTGGTAGTGTACTTCACTTTAAACACTGAGTAATCATTAATTTCAACGAACAAAACGCATTGGATGTTTACTAAGTGACGGTATGTATGTGATAATATGATCTTCCTTATCATAACAGCCATAGGAATCATTAAATAGATAACTACTCTGAATAATGCTCGAAACAAGGTACTGAATTACTTTCATCCATCGACAAAGACTACTGCTATGTAATATATAAGACTATGTTACTTAATTTTTTTCTTCCCCGTCGGTTGTCGTTTCGTCGAGCTATTTGGTCGGCCAATTGCCGCTCATCTTACTGACCCATTAGGCTATCGCGGTTACTTCAGTTCTGAACAGATATTTTATTCAGAAAACTAGATTTTTTTAAAACGAAAAATTGATTAAATAACCTTTGAAACTCTTAAATATAAATATCGCTACATTCCTAGGTCCTGTCTAGGTTAAGCTGGGGCTAGTGCAACATAAAACGGTGAACGTATTTCCAAATTTCATACTACATACATTCACGTTTTATTAGGATAATATTAATCTCGGGTGCTACATCAGTGCGTGCTTACTGTACGTTCTGGTTCGAGCTTACTCCTTGTATATTTTATTGCTCCATTGATGGAGCACGTGAGTGATGGCCGCAATACCTCACGTAGATAGGCTTTTGTTTACTGACACACATCTCAGAGAATGTTTTCCATCGGGAGAACTGATTTTTTTTTGGAGTAAGAGTTATATTTTTGTTATTAT